CCCCAGCTCTGTTCTTTGCTGTTCTTTAGGTCATTTCACTCTTTGCTCGAGGAGTTTGATCTACGGAATTATTAATGGCAAAGCAAATCGAATGCGATTAGCTTACAATTCCATTGTTAGGATGAAAACTTGGTTTCATAACAAATTCTCGACCAATCACTAGATAAGGAGCTAAACTTGATGTCATTTTGCTGTGTCATTGTCATTCTGTCTTGTCATTGTCTTTCTGTTGAATGATATCAAGATTTCATTCTGCAAAATGATACGTTGATTATAGATCTAAAGGATATATTTTAGTTCAGCTTTAGAATTACATCCAGAAAAACCTGCCTAACGGATTTTTCTGGCTTTCTTTTTTTCATTCATACTTACTTAGAACTGTTTGGAGCTAACGCATAGTTTGAACTCTCGAGTTAAAGGTCCTGCTTCCCTTTTTAACCTTTTTAATACTTCAAATAGAAATTTTTTTGGTGACAGCGTTTTGAAAAAAACAATTTGTAAAGATTAACTTAATAAAAACCGGTTAAAATTTGATTTTGATTGACAACTTAAGCATTAAAAGCATTAAAATATCATTAAAACATTCAAATTCTTCTGAATTTCTGAGTAATTTGAAGGAAATGAAAAACAATACGTGCCTTTTCTGACTCATTATCTTGGCTTCCTTGTTTTGTTGTTGAGGTTGAGAAAATCTCTCTTTCAAAGAATCTCATTTAGGAGTTCTCATTTGGAGAAGGTGCAAAAAAATAGAATGAAAAGGAAAATCAAGGAATGACGATGGGAAAGAAGAGGAAAAAGGATCTGGCACGTAGACATTCGTAGATGGGAAAAGAGCAACAATGAAGGCTAATTTTTAGAGCACAGGGGGTAATGTGTCATTCGTTTTTCCACAAAAGTCAAGTAAATTGTCTCAAAAGGTATCAAAGCTGTAACAGTTCAGTTTTTTCTGGTTTACTCCTCAATTCAACGCATTACCCAATTCAACACATTCAACACAACCTCAAATTACTCCCTGAGCTCTAAAAATTAGTCCTCAACTTCAGAAAGCTAAAAATAATTCTTTAGTTAATTCTTGAGTCTTAGCTCTGTCAATTCTGCTAGCTTCGGGAAAAAAAAGTCAGCAAAATTCATTGGTATTTAAAACTTTCAAAACGAAAAAGCAAAACTATGTAAATAGATGATGTGTGGATTGAAATCCATGCGATAAAAACCTGTTTTTGATTGCAATTAAGTTAAAAATCACGTAGCATCAATGAAATTTGAAATTAAAACAGTTTCCATGTTTTGCCACGAAAGAATAGAGCATAGCATTTGGAGGAGGTGCAAAAAAATAGAATAAAAAGGAAAATCAAGGAATGACGATGAGAAAGAAGAGGAAAAGGAGAATGATCTGGCACGTAGACATTCGTAGATGGGAAAAGAGCAACAATGAAGGCTAATTCTTAGAGCTCAGGGGGTAATGTGTCATTCGTTTTTCCACAAAAGTCAAGTAAATTGTCTCAAAAGGTATCAAAGCTGTAACAGTTCAGTTTTTTTCTGCTTTACTCCTCAATTCAACTTCAGAAAGCTAAAAATAATTCTTTAGTTAATTCTTGAGTTTTAGCTCTGTCAATTCTGCTAGCTTAGGGAAAAAAAAGCCAGCAAAATTCATTGGGATTTAAAACTTTCAAAACGAAAAAGCAAAACTATGTAAATAGATGATGTGTGGATTGAAATCCATGCGATAAAAACCTGTTTTTGATTGGAATTGAGTTAAAAAGCACGTAGCATGAATGAAATTTGAAATTAAAACAGTTTCCATGTTTTGCCACGAAAGAATAGAGCATAACAAGTGCGATTAGTTCAGTATCAATGCACGCGAGCATTTTTGTGGAGGACGGTTGTTCAAATTTTGCCCGTCTATGAAAAACCCGGTGAATAAGCATCAAATTCAGTGAATTTTCGCAAGGAAAACAGTTTTTTTGTGAACTTTGTTCTTCAGAAATTCTAGTTTTAGAAATTTGACTGAATAAAAACAATGATCAAAGCACAAAGAAAAGGCTTTGATCTCTCTTATCATTTAGAGAAATTTGCATATGATAGATTCTTGATCATTTATAAATAAATGATCATTTCTTGATCATTTATTTAATACGTGCTTTTGAAAAGAAGAGATTGAGAACTAGCTGGATTTTTGAATGCTCAGCAATTCGATTTGTCAATGTCTTTTTCCAAAAAGCTTATTTGAAAGATTTGATTACAATCTTGAATCTACAATCATCTGTGATCCTTGAATCTTATTTGAATGCTATTTGTTACTTGAATGTTACTTGAATGTTATTTGAATGTTACTTCAATGTTACTTCAATGTTACTTCAATGTTACTTCAATGTTACTCGAATGTTACTTGAATGTTACTTGAATGTTAATTGAATGTTATTTGAATGTTATTTGAATGTTACTTCAATGTTACTTCAACGTTACTTCAATGTTACTTCAATGTTACTTCAATGTTACTCGAATGTTACTTCAATGTTATTTGAATGTTATTTGAATCCTGTTGTTAGCTGTAGTTTTTGAAGTTTATATGAATCATAAAAATACCCTTTGAATCCGCCTTTTGTTATTCCCACATTTTGCTTCACTTCCTGATTCTCATTTCAAAATTCAGAAACAAAAAAAACAGACCATAGAAACGGAAATCAATAGCTTCTTCTCTTTGAAAAGTGTTCACGATCAAAAAAAAGCGCTTGCATAAACAATCGTCGGAAATGTGAACAGTGATCAAAGTGTTCTGCTGTGTTATGAAAGAAAGAAAGGGATGAGCGTTTTAAAGAAGACGTGTAAGCCATGTAAAAGTCTCGAATTTCAGTTAAAGCTATCGAAACGCTTCGCCATTTGAATAGAATCATACTATTTTGCCCTGTTAAGCCTTTGCTTCCATCGATCTATTGGATTGGGGGTTATGAAATGACGCCGACTTTCAAAGAAACTTCTATAACATTGAGTAATCTTTATCAAATGACACACACAATGATATGACACATTCAAATGAATCAAATGACAATGACATTAGGTTAAGTTTGTATAAGGAACGAGTCAAACGACGAATTGAACTCCTTTAGAGTGCTCTGCTGTGTTATGAAAGAAAGAAAGGGATGAGCGTTTTAAGGAAGACGTGTAAGCCATGTAAAAGTCTCGAATTTCAGTTAAAGTTATTGAAACTCTTTGCCATTTGAACAGATTCATACTATTTTGCTCTGTTAAGTCCTTGCTTCCATCGATCTATTGGATTGGGGATTATGAAATGGCGCGCACTTTCAAAGAAACTTCTATAACATTGAGTAATCTTTATTAAATGACACACACAATGACATGACACATTCAAATGAATCAAATGACAATCATTAGAAAGATCACTTCTCTCACTTATTTCTTATTTCACTTATTTCTCTACAAAATCACCTTTGAAATCGAACTCAAAAAGCATTCCAATTTAATAAAAGATCATTTTCAGAAACTATAAATCATCATTTTTAAAAAAAAAAAAATACCGACTGGGGCTACCAGTGGTGAATTTATCGCATACACGAAATATATCAATCACAATACAACGACACACACAATACTAGGCTATATCTTAACTTAACCCACGTCATGACAGACGGCTCCCTAACCCTAAGCTCAATGGGGAACTAAATAGCTTTTTTGGTGGTGAAGGGAAGATGACGATGAAGGAGTGGCTTGTCACTTTAAAGAACTGGGGCCACAACCACCAGACTGCCCTCCAGAAAACCTCCCAACCCGAAGGGAAAGGAAATCCGAAGGGGGTGACCATGTCGCATGTGGGGTTCGAACCCTCGACCTTCCGATTAAGATAAAAGACACTTAACCAGTCAGCCACACGTGCTCATTTAGAGAAAATGAGTGACAAGTTCACAACAAAAATTTAGCTACTTAAATTTGGCTACTATGTGCTCTAACTTTTTTTATTTTGACATTATGTTTGTGTAAGGAACGAGTCAAACAACGATTTGGACTCCATCGGACTGATTACATTTAGGAGCCAATAATATCCACAAAACAAAAGCTTTTCGGAGTCTCTTAAAAGCCATTTTGTAGAGGTCTTTTTGCTTCTAGAATCAATGGATATGAAGCTTTTATCTGGATGGAATAATGGATTATCTGAGCGCTATTTCATACTTCCCAATCTAATACTCCAATCCCAATACTTCTCAACACTGATTGACAAGATCACAACAAAAATTTGGCTACTTAAATGTGCTCTAACTTTTTTTGTTTTGACATTAACAATCACCCAATTCCATTACTTCCCAATCTAATATTTAAAGAAAACCAAATCAAATCAAAAATTTATGCATTAATCTCTTTTAAACTGAAAAGTAATGTTTTGTTTATTGAAAAGATTTCATTTATTTATAGATCTTGAAAAAAAAGCATTGAACTGTCTGCTTTTTCACAAAATTCATGCAAACTTGCAACTCTTTTCTATAAAAACTTTTCACATCAATATTGAACAGAGATTGTGTACCTCGCGAGTAAATGAGCTGTGACTTTTTGTTGCTTTTTCAAACATCAAGTGCAAGATCACATAGTAAATTGTAGAGTTAGCAGCTTCATTTTCTTAAGCAAGCTTCATGTTCTTAAACCAGCTTCATGTTCAAAGCAGCTTCATGTTCAAAGCAGCTTCATGTTCTTAAGCAAGCTTCATGTTCAAAGCAGCTTCATGTTCTTAAACCAGCTTCGTGTTCTTAAACCAGCTTCATGTTCAAAGCAGCTTCATGTTCAACGCAGCTTCATGTTCTTAAGCAAGCTTCATGTTCTTAAACCAGCTTCATGTTCAAAGCCGCTTCATGTTCTTAAAGATTTCAATCATTTAATCATTTAATACATAATCCTGCCAAAAAAAATCTTTATTATTCATCAATTACAAATATTCTTTTAAATGTTGATAACTAAAAAAATAGTAATTTTGTTTTCTTTTGAGATTTTTGTTTTTAAGCGGCAATTTCCACTTGTTCGGAAGCCTAAAAATCAATAAAATCCTTTCAATCAAATCGTTTTTTAAACAGAAACGGTTCTTGAAAAAAAAGCATTGAAATGTCTGCTTTTTCACAAAATTCATGCAAATTTACAGCTCTTTTCTATAAAAAATTTCCACATCAATAACTAGAGAATATTTTACGGTTCAAAAATCACTTACATCCTCAGTGGCGGGAGCTGGCTCTTCATCGGTTTGAGCGGCAGCAACAGGGACATCCTCTTCATCTTTGTCGGGCAATGAGAGAGGGATTGGGGCAACGGGCGGACGAGCCGCGTCTCCCTCGGCTTTCACCTGTTCCACGTACTTTGGAGGCTCCAAGTTCTGAATAGAGAGTAGTTTATTGGAAATCGAATTGAAAAGGATCCTGACAATGGGAAGCCAATGTTTGCTTTATTTACGTCCATTGTTGGATTTTTGTCGAGGAAATTCAGAGATCACACTCTCAAATCTAGACAGTCATAGTTCAAAAGCTTCTAGCTTCTTGATCAAAGATTCTAGAAATTAACAAACCTTTCGGATCTGTTCCAACTCATCATTGTCACGACGTCCCCATTCTGGTGGCGGGCGGGCAGTTCCACGAGCCAAAGTTTTCGGTTTTTGAACGGAAGGATTCTCGAAGAGAGTATATTTGTCCTTATATGTTCGACGATCAGTTTGTCTGTCGAACTTGGAAGCCACCTAGAAAACATCTTGATTGAGCCAGTGAATCTATTGGTTTCACAGCCGACTGGCTAAGAGCCCTGTATCTTTGTCAGGAGGTCAAGGGTTCCCGGCTAGATTATTGGTTATTTTCTTCGCTACAGTTTAGACTTATCGTAAATACTGTACCCCATCCCCCTCGTACAGTCGCGTAGTCGCAAAAGTTTTTTAGTATTTCATTTTTTTCAAAGCGCCCGTACTTTCAAAAAATGCGTCTTTGGTATGAAAAAATAGCCCTGAATTTCAGCTATTTTTTGATACCTAAGCGCGCATTGTAGCATAAACCAGTGTCGAGAAAAACGCTTCCAAAGCTAGACTACGCAACACTCCGCACCGTCATTATGGAGCTGGGGTACTATTACAGTATTTACGATGTGCTTGTGTATTGTTTTTACCAAAATATTTGTGAATTATGTTACTGGAAATAAAGAAGAGTAAAATGAGCTTTGTTCTTGGACAAACCTGGAGCTTTGGTGGATGGATGGAGTTGGCGGCCTCGTTGGGATCAAGGCCCATCTTGATAGCCTTTTGACGGGCAACCTAAAGTCGTGATGTAGAATTTTTCTTCAAATCCATTTTCTCATTTTCTTAGTGTAATATCCATTCAGTAAGCCGAAATTGTAGAAATAAAATCTATTTTAACAAGTAAATGAGTCGATGATTCTCCCACTCGATGGCGATACTACACTACTGGACAATGAAATATCATATTTGAAAAAAGATCGTCACTTTTGCGCGTCTATAACTCCCTTGTCTTTACCGTATTTCTAAATATTAATATTAGCATTATGTAGCCCTTGAAAAGAGCTTTCAGAAAATGTATAACACTAATAGTTTAAACTCAAAGACAAGGGAGTTACAGACGCGCGAAAGTGACGATCGTTTTTCAACTATGATATTTCATTGTCCAGTACTGTAGCCTATCTATTCAATCTCGTGAGTCGATCGATGGCTTCAAAGTCAACAACATTTGTAAGTGTTAATTATCTATGGAATGAATCGTACACTACTGGACAATGAAATATCATATTTGAAAAAACACTTTCACACTTTCGCGCGTCTGTAACTCCCTTGTCTTTACCGTATTTATAAATATTAATATTACCATTGCGTAGCCCTTGAAAAGAGCTTTCAGAAAATGTATAACACTAATAGTTTAAAGTCAAAGACAAGGGAGTTACAGACGCGCGAAAGTGTGAAAGTGTTTTTTCAACTATGATATTTCATTGTCTAGTACTGTAGCTCATCTATTGAACTCAAGAATCATTTTAGGAAGATTTTCAACCAAGTTACAGTTACAGAAGTGATGATCGTTTTTCAAATATGATATTTCATTGTCCAGTAGTGTACTTTGAAATAATTTCTGCAAAAGTTAACTTAATTAAGTATTGTAGATGAGCTGAGCTGACCCTTTATTTACTTTTATTTATTTAATTAGCCTCATTTACTGAAGTAAACTCAGTGATCTCACAGAAATCTAATTTAGAACTTTTGAAATATAATTCTATATGAGTTCACAAAGGATATGATATTTTTTTCTTAACGAGATTGAAAGATTAAAGATTAAAAATAGCTATAATTAGATGCTCACTCGAGAAAATGAACAGAAAATGAACAATAAATTCATAAGAACTGAGATTTTTTTTGATCTAAATCTTATTTCAAATTAAGCAGAGATAACAAAATGATTTCAAAACCTGTCTTTGTCTTTCGGAGAGTTCTTTGAGATCGTATTCCTGTCTCTCGTGTCTCTTCTCCAAATCGTACTTCTCAGCCTCCAATTTGCAGGCTCTTTTGTGAAGATGCTTGATCTTCTCCTTTAGATCATTAGGGAGAAGTCCAGAAATATCAATATTTCTGCAAACAGCATCCAAGAAAGCTTGCTTGGCGGCTTGGCGTTGCTCGGCGCTCACCTGAAAACGAAAAGATAACTTGATTTGCCTTTCGTACTGTACTGTACAATGTACAGTACTGAAAAAGCTCTCAGAAACTTGAATAAACTATTGTACCTCCTCTTTACGAGCTCCACCGGCCAAGTTTGCGGGTCCACCTTCGCCCTTTTGAACGGTGAAATTCTTTCCACCTCCAGAAGCGGCAGCAGCATTGAAAGCTCCAGCCATCATCGTTTGACGTCTCTGCTTCTCATCGTACTTGGCTCGTTTCTCTGCCTCACTCTGAATTCACACTATTAATTAGATCTCCTTCTTCCTTTCTTCCTTTCCTTCCTCTCTTCTTTCTCTAGCAAAAAGATACCAGATAGCTTAGTGGTTAGAGCAATTGCCCGAACACAAGCCTGAGGGTTCAATCCCTCTACTTTTCCTTGTCAATTCCTTTACTTCTTGATACCTTGGCTTTACGGTCTTCTTCCTCTTTCCTTCTCTTCTCCTCAGCAGTACGACGTCTCTCCTCATACTCAGCCTCTTCTTGTTGACGTTCGGCACGACGGACTTCTTGCTTCTCTCGGAGCTCTTTAAGTTCAGCATCCATTTGGGCTTTCTCGATCTAGAATCGAGTTTAGTTTATTTTCCCGTAAACTTTAAACACCTTGCGTCTCTCCTCATAATCGAGCAACTTGGCAGCCTCTTCCTCTTCATGTCTTTTCTTAGCTGCCAACATAGCCTTCTCGGCCTCAGTCATCTCAGCCGGTTCTGGTGTCTTTTGATGTACCACTGGTTTCTTTGGACTTGCTGGTCTGAAAATTTTCCTAATGAAGTTAAAAAATGGAAAACTAACGGTTCATCAGCAGGGGCTTCTTCAGCTTCCTCGACTTCTTCAGTCTCATCGGCTTCTGGGGCTGCCTCCTCAACTCTGAATTTCAAGATTTCAATAATCTATATTTTTTCTGATAGTTTAGACAATAATCTATCTATTTTGAGCTTTCATAAAAAAGTTTTAGATAAAAATCGATTTAAAATCGTACTTCTCTTCAGCGGCCTCGGCCTCCTCATCCTCGATCTCCTCCTCAGAGCTAAAAGAAAAAATTAAAATTGGATCTATTTATAAATCAATACAAAATTTGAATAGATTTTATTGTTTTAATGGTTTTAAAGTTTAAATAAACTAGGTTTATATGGAAATTTGACTTCGAGCTTTCTAAGAAAAAGAAAAAGTAAAGTAAACTTACTATTCCTCCTCGTCGGACATGATTGACCCTAAATTTAAATCAAATTTTATACTAATGATCAACGTTCAACGCAAAAAAGAGGTCAATTTTGTAAATTAAATAAATTAAACATCTAAAGCACAGTAGGAAAGATAAGAAAACAGCTCTTTCTCGAGTTTTCTCCAATCAACCCCGAGGGGAAAAGATTTCTCTCGATTCCACGTCATAAATTACAGCTTTTTTTGCCTGAGATATCGGAGAGATCTAACTCCGCCCAATTCTTTCAATCGTTCTTTTCAAAAAAATTCCCTCCTTTAGGCGCCCCCTCAAAAATCTCTTTCTGATTGTTTTACACATTGACGCCTCTTTGTCTTTTCACTTTCTTGATCTTCAATGAAATTTCCCCTTTTCAGCTCAATAGGTTTTCTCTAACGAGACCCAAATGCATCAACAACAACTGGCCCTTTCTAGATCTTTCGATGAATTGAGAATGGATTGAGGCCAAGGTTTTAGACAAAAGCTTGATCTCAATGAGATCTTTCTCTAGGAGAAAGTGGTTGAATGGATTTTTAAAGAAGGAAGAATTGTTTAGTGATGTTGAGTGATGATCAATTAGTAAAACAATTGCAATTAAATACAAGGCCAACGCTTAATTTAATTGCATATTATTCTTTTGATTTCTTTGAAAAGCTTTTAGTCTTAGTAAATCGTTTTTAGAGTCTCTTAAAACCCATTTTGTAGAGATCCTTTTGCTTTTAGAATCAATGGATATAAAGCTTTTATCTGGATGAAACAATGGATTATATGAGCGCGATTTCATACTTCCCAATCCAATACTCCAATTCCAATACTTCTCAACACTGATTGACAAGATCACAACAAAAATTTGGCTACTTAAATATGCTCTAACTTTTTGTTTTAACATAAAGTTGATTTTGGGTAAGGAACGAGTCAAACAACGATTTGGACTCCTTCAGACTGATTGCATTTAGGAGCCAATAATATCCATAAAACAAAAGCTTTTCGGAGTCTCTTAAAAGCCATTTTGTAGAGGTCTTTTTGCTTCTAGAATCAATGGATATGAATCTTTTATCTGAATGGAACAATGGATTATCTGAGCGCTATTTTATACTTCCCAATCTAATATTTAATATTCTAGATCTTTCGATGAATTGAGAATGGATGGAGGCCAAGTTTTAGATTTTAGAAAAAGCTTGATCTCAATGAGATCTTTCTCTAAGAGACAATGGTTGAATGGATTTTGAAAGGAAGAATTGTTTAGTGATCAATTAGAAAACAATTGCAATTGAATACAAAGCAAACGCTTAATTTAATTGAATATTATTCTTTTGATTTCTTTAAAAACTATTTACTTTATTTCTTTTTATCAGTAAAATGAGAGCACAATGCTGCTCGAATTCCCACAAAAAATTTAGTAACAATGGCTGAGACGCCAAGGGATTTTTCGACTTTCTTGCTGTGTCTTGGTAGCTCGAAGAGTTCTTAAAGAATCGAGTTCAAGTTACAGGAATTCTGATATTTTTCTTATATTTCAAGCACAGTTTCTAGAACTCTTAAAAGGTAATTTAAAAGCTAGAACTCTGAAACTTCTAGAACTTTTGAAAGATAAGTTTTAGCTTTAGCAGATAAGACAGATTAGTGTTTGAACGTTGGTTTCCCCAGCGCTTTACACAAAAGCACTAAAATTAACATCAAAAAGAGCCATCATTGAAAAGAAAATGGGTTTTTAGAGTTTTTAAGTCGTGGATAGTATTCACTGCTTTGTTTCTTCTGTAAAACTAATTATAAACTAAGTTTTAAAAGTTTCGAAGGAATTTAAGCTGATATGAATGTTTGAGAATGGATTCTTTAAAATGGATTTTATGATTATAGAAATGATCATAGATTTTTAGATCATAGAAAAATTGTAGAAAGATTTCCAAAAATTTCTTAAATCCCTTTCTTTCATTTAGCAATTCATTGTTGTTTTTGTTTTGTTTTTGTTTGTGTTTTTGATTTACATTTATTCTTTTCTCAACTTCATAAAGACCGTAAAATAAAGATATGACATTAAAAAAAATACAATAATGATAATAATCGATAGCCAAAAAACTGACGTTAGATTTGAAAGACGATTGAACCAGGGTTAAAAATATTGCTTTAGAAAATAGTGTAGAGAAAGGGTAGAGAAAAAAAAGTTACATTTGGAATGTCATGTGTTGGTCGTTGATTGAGAGAAAGAATTGGAATTTGTATAGAAAACATTTAAGCACCAAAATCTGAAATCATTAACTAAAATAAAATGAAGAAAATAAGCGAGAGAAGGCACAACATGAGGATCGACTGGAAATCTCGAGAAAGAGAAGAGATTGGCTTGAGCTTATGTTAGAGATTGATTAGCTTAGGCTCCGTATTTCAGTTTCTGGATTTATTAGGCTAATTTCAAGTTATTCAGTGTGGCGATGGCTAATCGCTTCTCTTCTGCTGTAGCGGATGGATAGGAGAGACATCGCTTATCGAAAGCCGCCAACCAAGCAGCTTTTGTCTGAAATAGTACTCTTCAGGCTCAGGCTCGGGCTCAGGTTTGGGCTCAGGTAATGGAGCTTGTAGTAGTAATAGTACTAGTAATAGTACTAGTAATACTACTACTACTAGTACTATTACTACTACAAGTTCCATTACCTGAGCAATAGTACTAGTACTTGGTAATAGTACTTGAGTTCTTTGTTGATTCAGTGATCAGGGGGTTACTACGCTGACCAATTTTGGATCCGGATACCCTACCGACAAGTCCTTGTGATGGATCAAAGGATCCACGGCAGCCCCCTCCGCAACATTCCGCAATTAGGATCCAAAATTGGTCAGTGGAGTAACCCTTGATCACTGAACCAAAATTGCCTGATTGAAAGTCTCCTTTGGGATTGTGCTATCCCCTTTGGGGCCTGTGACTCGAGTGGTTAACAGATTTTCTCAGGAACACACCGTCATAGGACCAAGTCGAGACGAATTTCCTAGCCTATATGGGAAGCCGTTCGCCGGACGGCGAGCGATTACCTGACCGTACAAAGAACAACTGGGAGACCTTTTTGCATAGGGATTCGATATGTATTGATCATTTGGTTTAAAAGTTAAGTCCCTCTCTAATAAGGGAAATCAAGTGCCTCGTGGCTTAATGGCACAGTCGCCGTAAACACAGTCGCCGCACAGTAAACGAAAGGGTCTGGTTCGAGTCGTGGCGTTGTGATTTTTTGATCTAACCTAGTTCCAACTTAAAGAAGCTTCTGTTTTTATGTTTGGTAACACATGACTCAATGAATTTACCTTCTTATCATTGCAACTGAAGAGATATTGTTTCCCAGGGCCGATCAGCTTGAAAGAGTTCTTCACGTTTACATTGAAAGTCGAATCTGAAAGTTTCAGATTCGCTTTTTATCTTTTATCATGCTTTTTAGTTCAAATTTCATCTATTTTTAGCTTCAAAGGGATCCTTTTTCTTCTTTTCTTGTTGTCAACTGACCTTTTCCATCGCGAACATCGACCACATTTGTTTGTTGTAATGACATTCGCTCTTTGAAAATGTAAAAGTTCTTTTTGATCAAATCCTTTTTACAGATAACGATTGATTGATCAAAGAGGAATAGTAAAATATCCTAAAAATTTTGGATTTGAAAGGTTTTCAGCTTCTTTAAAACCTTTGACCATTGACTTGAATTCGGGGCAACACTTCGGCAGAAGACTTCACCGGATCTCAACATAGCACTGTTGTTCTCAAGGAGATCTGGTCCCTAAATTCATTTGTAGAAATAAAAATAGTCTAATATTTGTTTCACATTTCTTATTTACTCACATAATTTATCTCAAATATTTTGTTCATTATTGTAGAACGTAATTTTTGTCGGCGTTCTTTTGCGACCTCTCGGTGTTGCCGAATGAGTTCGGTCATATAGAATAACATTACGTTTTAATACTAAACAATGATTGTCAAGGAAAATTGGAATAAGAAAAGGAAATGAACAGACAGAAGAGAGATTAACTGAAGTTACAGGAAGATTGATTTGTTGGCTTTGTTTGGAAAGAAACGGTCAAAAGAACTAGCAAGTACTTAGAAGCATGATTAAAAGCTTAGAAGCAAACAGCTTAGAAGCTAACAGCTTAGAAGCTAACAGCTTAGAAGCAAACAGCTTAGAAGCATTTCATTTGATTCTTGCGAATATAAGTCTTGAAAAATCGCTTGACTCAAGGAAATACTATCAAAGTTCACGTCAAAGATTGAGACGTTCGAATTTTATGAGTGGAAACACTCGACTTTCATCGTCAAACATTGGGTTCAACCGTCAAAGAACAGTTTTATTTTGAAAGAAAAACAGGACGTTAAAATGAGCAAAGTTTAAACACTAGTTAAAGAAATAAAGTGAATTATAGTAAGAAAAGTTTGGAAAAGCCAGGAGATTAGTTGATCAAAGTATTTTTTTTTTGGTTTTGCAGAGAATGGAGAGCTTTGTTTGCATTAGATCGTTGATCAGCTAGATTGAAGGGTTTTTTTGGAGATTTTGAAAGCAATCCCAGCCACGAGACGGCGAGTTTTAGGAGAATTCAATTCTAATTTTAAAAAAATGAATAAGATAATTGCAAGATTTTATGAAAACTTTGACAATCAGTTCTTAAGTATCTAAGTACTTAAGTACCTGCTCCTTCAAGAGAACTAAATTGTCTTGCATATTTGACAAATCTCTGGATGAAATCTATAAAAACATATCTTATTCTATTAGCAATTGAATGAGGTATTGAACAAAGATCTTGAAACAAATCTTGATTTGAAGAAGAGAAAGATCTTGAATCAAATCTTGATTTGAAGAAGAGAAAGATCTTGAATCAAATCTTGATCTGAGCAAGGTAAAGCTCCAGAATCAAATCTTGATTTGAATAAGGTAAAGATCTTGAATCAAAGCTTGAATTTTGAACAAGAGAAATAGCTTGATTCAGATCTTGATTTGAACAAGGCAAAGCTCCTTAACCAAATCTTAATTTGAACAAGGTAAAGCTCCTTAATCAAATCTTGATTTGAACAAGGCAAAGCTCCTTAATCAAATCTTAATTTGACCAAGGCAAAGCTCTTTAATCAAATCGTCAGTCTCATTTTTCGTTCTGCTTTTTATTCATGAGAACTCTGATAAAACTAATGAAAAAAGGAGCAAACATTGAGGAACACTTCATAAAAATCTGAAAAAAAGGTTCATTTTGAGTCCAAACCTTTCGAAGATCTCAAAACTCAAAACGATCAAAAAAGTTTTGACAACTATTTACTTATCTGAACAATTAGAGAGCAATCAAACAAGCTAATCAATTGAAAATAGAAAGATCTTAAACTGATCTTGTACTTAAATGTTTATGCACTTGACTCTCAAGAAATCACATGACTCTCAAGATCTAAAATACTTCTCAAAATGAGCTTCTCTCAAGATCTTTGAGCACTTGTGACCAAAGCTATCATTTTACCTGACAAGTTCTTATTTTTTCGAAATTTCGAGAGGTGAAAACATGTGTTTGATTATGATTTGAAAAGCAGACAAAAAGTTGATGGCAGGAGATGAGGAAGAGGAAAAGAAGGGAAACAGATCTTTCGAACTAAGGAATCAGTGCTGGGGATCAAGATTTGGATTCTTTGAGTTCTTGAGATTCTTTGCTTAACAAGTGTTTCCTTTGTTCAATTTGATCAATCAACTTACCCTCCATCCATGAACATTTTTCTGCCAAAGAGCGATATCTTGTAAAGCCTCAATTCTTCTCTTTCGATCGTTGATCTGAGCAGCGACAGCTCTCATCGCTCGTTCAGCTGCCTCCAAGGCTGTTCGATCCTCATGACTGTCCGGGGTTGCCTAAACATGTCAATACTTACTTGGCAACAAAGTTCAAAAGTTGAGCTTGCATTAGTTCTATGCTTAGTTTTATTGCTCTTGCAAGAAATGGTAAAGAAAGATCCTGAGCCTTTTTGCTTTCCGACCTTTTTACTTTCCAGGCAATTGCTCTGAGCTATTTGATCATTTTACCAGAGAAAAAAAGAGGAAAAGGAAGAGAGAAAAGGAAATATCGGGCTCTTCAGCTATTATCAGCCTGCTTCTGGCTACAAGTCAAAGATCCACTAACAACTGATCAATCCCTTGATCTACAACTGGTCAATACCTTGATCTACAACAGATCAATCCCTTCATCTACAACAGATCAATCCCTTCATCTACAACTGGTCAATTACAAGTTACCTTCAACAATTCAGCCAACTGAAGTGGATATCTGCAAATTCGTTGAACGGGGGTTAGCAAGAACCCTTCAAGACTCAAATTAGGCATTCCTCGGAGGAGACGGCAAGCCTGAAATATTTAGAGTCATAGAGTCATAGAGTCTTTTGCAAGAACTCAAAACAAAAGCAAAGCAGAAAAAGATAACCTCAAAAAATTGATGATAAATTGGTTGTCTAGTGAGGATTGCTAATTCAGCACAAGAAACCGGTCGATTGTTGCAATAATCAGAGTAAATAGCGAAAGATTGTTTCTAAAAAATTGGTTTTTTAATTTGTAATTAATCTAAAACCTACATTTCTTAAGAAAGCTGATCCAAGACAAGTATTTTCTGGTGATGATTGATCCAATGCAATCTCTAGATCTCTCAAAATTTTCGAATGCAACAAGTAGATTGATTGGATGTTTCCAAAAATATTTCTAACTCGTTGAGAAGAAAAAAGCTCAGATCTTCTTCTTGTTTGTTCCAAGAAACCCTAAAAATCTTTTGTTTACCACAAAATTCTTTTATTTTTTTGTTTTACTTGGACAATGTTTTCCAATAATCTAACGTAATCCCTTTCTGTGTTCATCAACTCTTCAACAACATTTGCTCGTTGTGTTCTCATCGATTGCGGGAAAGAGTCTGTCGACAATGAAGTGGATGAGGGTCTAGAGGAAGAGCCAGAAACAACCTAAAACGTTTACAATTCTTTTAAAACAATCGTTTTTTTCTTTACCCTGACATGACTAGCTGGGAACCATCCTTGACTTTCTCCACAGCTGCCATACCAAAGTCCTGTTTGAGAGCTGGCATCAAAGACTGAAAATTCAATTGCTTTATTACTTTTACCATATAAATGTTAATTTTTAATAGATTCAAACTTCAATACAATATAACGAACGATTTTGTTTTACTTGGACAATGTTTTGCAATAATCTAACGTAATCCCTTTCTGTGTTCATCAACTCTTCAACAACATTTGCTTTGGTTTCAATGAAAGATTTTATAATAAAATGTTTTTCGAAACAAAAACCACTTTGATATAACGAAATTTTTAATCTAACGATCTCTTGAGGTTTTTTATATCGAAGTTTTGACTGTATTGCTTTTTAATATTCTTTAAACTAACTAGAGATCACATCACCAGCAGCAAATGGAAGCTCGTCTGGCAACAGTGCGACATGATCGAACGAGGCCTCGGCGATCATTGCCTAAAATTAAGTTTAATTTTTAACTTTGATGCTTTGACTTAATTTTAGAGATCTTTAGAAGCAAATCTAGATAAAGAGGGATTGAAATGGATCAATATTGATCTATCTGAGATAGGTGGAAAGATAAAGTAGTCTGTGGAAGTTCGGAGTTCAGGTTTTCCTTTTTTTTTCATTCAATGGGATGTCCATTTGGAGGGTCTTTTCTCCTTTCGAGAGTCCCGACAAACATCTGTGAGTTCATGTGAAAAATGAAATGACCAAACCGATGTGGGAGCCTTACAACCTTGATCTTTTGAAAGAGCTTATCCTCAACAATTTATTTTGAAACCTCAATAGCCTTATCGTCTTATCGAAGATCTAGTTTTGTTTTTCCCTTATATCCCAAGCTTTTCCAATAAGCTCTAGAAGTGAATACCGTATTTTCTCTAATAGTAGTGCACCGCGGTGAGCCGAGTTGATGACTATTTTACGGTTTCCAAGCTTTTGCAGAAGCTCAACACTCAAATCCCTCACTAGATCTCATCGTCAGCTACATTTTCCGACCCCACATCAATGGGGCTGATCAATAGGGCTGATGTTATCGAGATTTCGAGCAATTTAGGCGACGCTCAGGGTGCACTACTATTAGAGAAAATACCGTAAGCATTCAAAAAAAACGGTAAATAGATGAATCATGAATCAATGTAAAGTACAAAGATCCTCACCCCATCAGACGAAGATTCAGTACTTCCATTGCTTCGAGACCCACTCGATGAGGTACTTTGCAATGAACACCGACATCCTCTCGACCATTCTTCAGCTGGAGCTTGTACTCTTGAGATATGTTGAACAGTTTCTATAAGTTTTCAGTTAAAACTTTCAGTTTAGTTAGTTAGTTTGTTACCATAATCATCATCGGATTCATTCGGGGATGGAGCCATTGGTTGACTTTTAGAACGTTTCTGATTTTTCACTGGTCGATCGAGTTGTCGGATTAGTTCCTAGAAAGTTTCTTGTTTCAAGAATAACATTAACGAATGAACAGAGCTTTTAAAATGAAACTAACCGGAATATAAGCATTCTCATCAGCTTTACTCCTTGAGTAGAAACGCGGTAATTTCATTGAAAGGCGACCTCGATCAGGGAATGATTCAGGATTCTAAACAATTGTGATTTATTGTCTTTCATAAACAACTCATTTTCTTATCAATAACTTTTAAAAAGTTTCTTTAAAAGCTTCTTTAAAAGCATCTTTAAAGGCTTTTAAGGTTTTCTTATCAATAACTTTTTAAAGGCTTCTTTAAAAGCTACTTTAAAAGCTTCTTTAAAAGCTTTTAAGGTTTTCTTATCAATTGCAATAAATCTCCAATTTCCTAGAAGACATTCTTTGGGTGTTGTTCAGTTGTTCACAGGGAAAAGTTGTTCCTATTTGGTCGGAATGAACAGTTCAAATAGAGTCCCCATTCATGTGAATCAAAGAGCCACTGAACAGTTTGCCTAAAAGGAAAAGAAGAAAAGAAGAAAAGAAAGGGAATCTAAAGAAATGGAAAGGTTTGCGTGTGTGTGTGAATTCTCTCAAAATACACACATCCCGGAAGACTCTGCATTGCGTTAACTGGGAAATGAATAGATTTTTTTGTAGAGATCTTTAGTTTACTTATCAGCTATGATACTGTCTAGATATTAGAAAAATTCCACCTTCATTCTCTCAGCCGTTCCTTTGGAATTTTGTTTTCCGATTCCTTTGAAATTTTGTCTACAAGTAGACAATCTTAATTTCTATTTGGAAACAAAATTTCAGAGCAATTGGTCAAGAGACGGCTGAGAAAATGCACGTGTGGCTGACTGGTTAAGTGTCTTTTATCTTAATCGGAAGGTCGAGGGTTCGAACCCCCTGCACTGGTCACCCCCCCCCGGTTTCCTTTCCCTTCGGGTTGAGAGGTTTTCTGGAGGGCAGTCTGGTGGTTGTGGCCCCAGTTCTTTAAAGTGACAAGCCACTCCTTCATCGTCATCTTCCCTTCACCACCAAAAAAGCTATTTAGTTCCCCATTGAGCTTAGGGTTAGAGAGCCGTCTGTCATGACGTGGGTTAAGTTAAGATATAGCCTAGTATTGTGTGTGTCGTTGTATTGTGATTGATATATTTCGTGTATGCGATAAATTCACCACTGGTAGCCCCAGTCGGTATTTTTTTTTAAAAATGAAGATGAAATTAGATTCGGATTGGAATTTTCTCATTTCTAGTAGTCATCCTTTCAAATTCTTCAACAATGAATAAACTTAATACTTCTGCTACTTTTAAGCTATTAGAAAGCTATTAGAAAGCTATTAGAAAGCTATTAGAAAAGCTTAAATCATTTGTAATTGTTGAAATCAACATAATAGAATCTTAAAAACCAATATCTCAACAAACATCAACACCAAAACTTGTTAAGTATCTAACACAGTCTTTTCATGTCTCTTTTCTTCACCCGGAACTTTTAATCCCTAAGCTTAGCTGTGTCCACCACTTTTTCATGTTTCTCACTCAAGTCAATCCTTTCCATGTCAAATGTTAAGCTTCCGAACAAGCCTCGAGGCAAATAGAATGTACGCGAAAAAATTTGAGAGCTGTATTGACACCTTTTCGAAAAGTGTCACTCAAATTTTTGTGACCTTGTTCAAAAAGAAAGAAGTTTCAGTTCAATGCAGTTTTCAATTCACCAACCCAATAATTCCTTTCTTTACTAGATTCTACTTTACAAGTCATCAATAATAAGTTTCCGGAATTTCTTTTCGAAAGTGAGAGTTTTGAGGGTTTTTATTGCGGTGGGATCTCTCGAAATTGACCCTCGTGAAGAGAGGAAAATCGGTTTCGATCTCCGAACAAGCCTTGACTCGGACTGGGAACAATGAGACTGGGAATCTCAAAGGATTTAAGCCACTATTCTTTCGAATGGATTCCCCAGAGCCATTCTTTTGAATGAATCGATGATCTGAATGATATCCAACCGGTTGCCATCATACTTTTTCCAGTCAAACCATAATCGGCTCAAAGCTGTCAAGAGCTTTTCTCGTAAATCTCGTCTTTTATATAGTGATATCCATTTTATCGAGTCTTACTAGTTCTCAAATTGACAAATTTAACTATAGCTATTGGTTCTAGTTTTTTCATAGTTCTAGTTCCTTCTAGAGAATGGCAGTGACACTTGAGTCACTAAAAAGCCAGTATTGACCATTCAAGCAAAAGGATATTGAAGAGGTTGAATTCAGAGCAATTGGATATTTAGATATAGGTCTTACAAAACTCCTGTAGTGTGTTTTGATGAGAGTTTTGTAAGATCTACTTCTAAACATTCAATCGGTCTAAAACTTTATGACAATGACAATGAAAATCCATTAGATTAGATATAATCCATAAATTAGACATTAGCTTAGCTTAGCATTAAGCTTGAAGTAAAAGGCTTGAATTTTGTTAGTTTTTTGAAACATTAAAATGCTCATAAAATAAAATGATCGAAATTTTATGAAACGAGCACGCGCTAATGCTTTGTGTTTTTCTGTGAGTATCGAGTTCAAGGACAATGAGATCATTACAGAATGGAACATCAAAAATCTCTTGGTATTGAAATGAGTAAGAGAAAAGAACATGGAATTCTCTGGGAATCGGATTGTTTACGGTGGAATGGAGAGTTGGTCGATACATTGTTGGGGAGGGAGAGAAAGGGATCGGGAAACGGGTCCAATACAGGGAAACACAAGGGGGACATCCTTGACATTGAGCCATTCAATTTGTAGAGCCTCTCATAACTCTTTGACATCACAAGACTCAAGTGACTTTGAATTTTGACAAACTTAGGGAAGAACTTGAGTACTCCAACTATCCAACAATGGAACTTTCAAATTTGCTTCAGCTTAAAGCTTTGAATCTGCTTAAAGCTTTTAATTTCTGCTTTGAAGCTTTGGATCTTTGCTCTAAGCAAGATCTTTGCTTAGAGCTTTGAAGCTTTGGATCTTTGCTTTGAAGTCTTGGATTTCTGCTTTGAAGCTTTGGATCTTTGCTTTGAAGCTTTAAATTTCCTTAGTCTTGTTCTGCTGAATTTTTTCTTTCAAATTTTGTGTCATCTCAGGTGAAATTCCACAAAGATTTTCTAAAAAGATTTTGAGCGAAAATATTTGTGTTATCTTTGCGGCGATCTTTGCAAGGGAAAACGCACAAGCCGGAAATTAAGAACTCAAGAAAAAGAATCTAAAGAAATTGGAAAGTGGTTTGAATGATCAAGATTAGTAAAAAAACAAAGATTTACCTCAATTACCCGAACCCTTCTTAAGCCATAAGTGCTAGCCGGTGGGGAATAACTTTGAGTTTGATCAAAAAAGTTTGAGTAAGGAATTTGATTGAAGAAACCGGGATGAAACTCGGATCCGGAATATGTGATGGGCACTAGGAGATCCCCGGCCGGAGATCTCCTCACCACGCAATACATTAGAGAAAATCGATGATGCTGAGGAAATAAATCGGTGGGATTAGGTAAATCGTCGTCAGGTACTCGAAGTGAGAACAGGATGATGGAAGAAGGGTGAAAGGTATCGGACACCTGTGTGAAGGAGGCGGGGATTCCCCCTTCTTCTCTTCCCCATTTTCCCTGACTCTTTGTCCTTTCCTTTTCATTCACCATTTGCTTACCACTACCACCATTTTCTCTTTCTCTACCCCTTTTAGGTCAAGCTTAGATTATTGTCATGAAATGAATGGGTGAAACGCAACTTTCCATTGCATAAAAATCTGTGAGATGTAAAATAACAACTCTAACAAAAACAACAACTGCAAGCTAAAGCTTAGGCTTGGGCTTAGGCTTAGGCTTAGGCTTAGACTTGAGCTTGGCTTAGACTTGGGCTTAGGCTTGGGCTTAGGCTTAGACTTGAGCTTGGCTTAGACTTGGGCTTAGGCTTGGGCTTAGGCTTAGGCTTAGGCTTAGACTTGAGCTTGGCTTAGGCTTGGGCTTAGGCTTGGGCTTAGGCTTAGGCTTAGGCTTAGACTTGAGCTTGGCTTAGACTTGGGCTTAGGCTTGGGCTTAGGCTTAGGCTTAGGCTTAGGGTTAGGCTTAGGGTTAGACTTGGGCTTAGGCTTGGGCTTGGGCTTAGGCTTGGGCTTATTCTTATGCTTCGGCTCGGCAAGTTATAAGTCCAGGAAACTTTTGAAGTACTTAACTTCCTTCAGTAAACAGCTTTCTTCAAAGTTTATCACAAGATTCTCATGTCATTGAGGATCAAAGAGACAGAAACTCCCGATCAATCACCACATAAAATCTTGAGAAACACTTATGACTAACATTTTTATAGGAAAATTCGAATTTAACCTGGATTAAGGATTAACCTGAGCTAAAATCTGTCGAATGCTGTAGACTCGTTCATTTCCATGATCTCCAAAGAAGAAACTTCGATTCATCTAAAATTAAAGAATTTGTTTTGAATTCAAAATCGAAAAGTTTAAGTCTGCCTTGCTTTTCTAGCTATAGACGTGTGAAGAATGACTTAAGGAAACTCTTTTCAAATCTCACAATGCTCTAAGAAGAGTGGAGGGAGAGTACACAATGATTCTAAAGAAATTGCTAGTAGAAAAAAAGTTAATAACTCAAAAAAAAGGACAAACGTGAGACTTGAAAGAAAGTGGAGAGCAATTCAGAAAAAAGTTAATTACTAGCAGGAGGAGATTTAAGTTGAGATAAGTGGAAAAAAGAGGTTTCTATTTTGAGTGTCTATCGGCAAAGCTTTGTTTCTAAGTTTAGTTTGAATCAAATAGACTTTAAATTCTAAATGATTATAACTTTTGTAATGATTTACAAACCGGATGACATTTAATCGTATACATATTGCACTATTCAATAGTTTGTTGATAAAAAAGCTTTCGAATAAAGATTGCTTGTCAATGAAAGGAGTTGTTGTCGAAGAGATAATGTTTCTTCCGGAAGAATGCAATCGGGAAAGGAATTGCTTAAGGCGCTTAAGGCTTTCAAACAACAAAAGCAGAAAAAGACTGTAAAAAGAAATGGAAAAGAAAAGAAAAGGAGTGCTTCCGAATTCACTCCCGTCAAAAACATTCTTCTTCCTCATTGCCTAGGTACAAGCTGTACGTGCTAATGGCTTAGCAAAGAGGGATTAGCTTTTTGTGTTCGGCTAAAAGAACAGAAATTGAAAATTGCAAGGGACTACAAATTTGTGTATAACTCTTTTCCAATAAGAACTGCCAGAATTTGGAATCGATTCCCCCGAGTTTTGAGAGAGTCCAATAGTCTTGGAACCTTTAAATTATCTGTAGATCTTGAAGCTCTAGTGGATTCTTGACGTTAGCTGCGCTACCCATTTATTACATATCGTGTTGCTTTTTATCGGCCCTTTTAGTGTTATGTGTATGAATTCATGTATATTGATCCTTAAATCTAACGCACTTTATTTCAGGTTCTGAAATTGTTTAGCTGGCAGCTCTAGAGAAGCTCTAAGGGCTCTAGAGAAGCTCTAAGGGCTCTAGAGAAGCTCTAAGGGCTCTAGAGAAGCTCTAAGGGCTCTAGAGAAGCTCTAAGGGCTCTAGAGAAGCTCTAAGGGCTCTAGAGAAGCTCTCAATGCTCTAGAGAAGATCTAAATGCTTTAGAGAATTCTCTTTTCAACTTTATTTCAGGTTCTGAATAAAGTATTAATACAAATATTCGTACTAATTTTCGGTTTTTATCTAAATACTATAAATTATGATTTGTTTTCTTTTAAAACTTTTGAGAAAATAAACTATTTTAAAAGATATTTGCTTAAAATCTGATTTAAATAAATCTTGAAGATCTGAATGAATCAAATGGAAAGGAAATCGAATGGAAATCGAATGGAAACGAATGCTTTTCGACAATGTTTACGTTCAGGATTGAAAGAGAAAAGAAAAAAAGGAATTTTAGATAAAAAAGACTAAGAAAATAAAAAAAATAACCTCATCTAAATCGTCGTCAACAAAGCTACTTTTGCTTGGGATTATATGAGTGAGTAGATCGTCAGCTGGATTATTGTTGTTGAAAGAGAGAGCTTGAAGTTTTGTTGTTGTTGGGTCAAAATCCTGAAAGTTATTGTTCAGTTATTGTAGTGAAATGTTCTTTAACCCAAAATACTAATTAATTAAGTTAAAAGTAAAGAAATTCTTTAGCTGGCAGCTCTGGAAAAGCTCTAAATGCTCTAGAGAAACTCTAAGGGCTCTAGAGAAGCTCTAAATGCTCTAGAGAAGCTCTAAATTCTCTAGATAAGATCTAAATGCTCTAGAGAAGCTCTAAGGGCTCTAGAGAAGCTCTAAATGCTCTAGAGAAGCTCTAAATGCTCTAGAGAAGCTCTAAATGATCTAGAGAATCTCTTTTCAAAGACTTTCAAGTTTTGAGTGTAAAAAGACTACTCTTAATAAAGTATTTTATCGTAAGAGCCATGCTAGAATCTAAAATATGTAAGACTTTATAGTTTATAAGTTTAAAATAACGTAGAGTCTAGATTTCGTACATTTCATCATCATCTATTTAGCCTATCGAGCTTATTGACTACCGATCGACTCAACTCATCTCTTCTCCAGAGATCCTCTGCCCACTTTCTCGTTGAGTAGCCCATCTTTGAGCCCTGTACCTTACTAACTCAAACTATCCATTCTTTTCCCTTTTTTCTTTCCACTCTAGTACCACCACTTGAGAGATAGAGTGATCAAATATCTTTTTCTCTTTTTCTTTTTTCTTTTCGCATCCTAATGACCCTTTGAAGTACTAAGGAATTTGTCGACCAATCACCTAAACATTTCAAAGCAAAAGATCTTTGAAATTTCGATAAAAAATTCAATTTTCTATAGTTTACTAAGATTTTGTAGACTTAATGTTATCTATTTTGTGATCTAGCTAAACTGAATAGCTTGGTCACGTCGTATTTCGGGTTACTGTATTCTGTGGGTATAAAAATCACATTTTTAAACAAAAATTGGGGTAGGCTAATTTCCGTAATTTTTTTTGCGCAACTCGCCATAACTTTCTTCTAAGTCAGCCAATCTTTATGATGTTGGTGTCATTTTGTCACACTTATTGAGATCTACAAAATGACACCAACATCATAAAGATTGGCTGACTTAGAAGAAAGTTATGGCGAGTTGCGCAAAAAAAATTACGGAAATTAGCCTACCCCTAAAAATTTCATTCTGATCATTATTGTTAACAGTTTTCATAAACCCTGAGCTACCAATAAAACCATTCCTTTTCTAAAAGTGTACCAAATGAGATTTTATGGATTCGAACAGAGAAAAGTTGAATGGAATGAAAGTTTTTGGAGTGAGAACAGAAAAGTGAAGTTACTATCTATTTTAAGGCAGTTTAACCTCTTGAATGCTGTTGTTCAAAGCTTCGATCAGCGAGAGTCTTCTTCGAGAGTAGTAGGGATTCTGAAATCGATTCAATTCAATTTTAAAGCTATTTTAAATAAATTTACTCAATTTTTGTTTTTATAAATAAAATAAAGTCAATAGAAGAATGAAAATCAAATGAGTAAAGTAAAGTAAAGTAGTAAAGTAAAGTAAAAGTTTGGTAGAAAGGATCTTAATCTGGAGAGCTTTGTTTAAAAGTCCTAAATTTTTATATTTTCGTTAACTTTTTATAAAAGCCTTGATATAAAGCCAATTTATCGGTCAGCTAAAGATCGAAAGTGAAGGAAAAAGAGGTTGATGAAGCTAGTTGTGTGGACATTATTGGATGCACCTGGCCTCACCACAAACACAGGATGAGATGAGAAGGGAAAAGGGAAAAGAGAGAGTGACAAAGGCAGCTACAAACCAATAATCGAGGCACCAATTGATTCATTTCAATGAGAAATAGTCGAATAGCACTTGTTGCAATAAAAGTTTAACTTTAATCTCATAAAATCTAACAAAAGTTCTATTGAATTACTGTTAAATCTTTATCTTGTGATTAAGCAATCAATCAGAAAGCTGTTTCTGTTGAAATGGTTGTCTCATATGCAAAAATCTCTCGACCCAGTTTTTTTTAAAGTGCTCGATAGAGAATGGATTTATAAACATCATTAAAAATCATTAAAACATTAAAAAGCTTTGATTTTTTTAAGCAAATATTTAAAAGATTTGATAAAAGATTAGATTTTTAAAAGATTTATCTGTTCAAAAGATTTGAATAGGTTTGCTCAAATCGTCAAAGAGCGCACTGAACTATTGAATCATGACGAAAGCTGAATCATCCGCAAATTTGAAAAATGATTTAGAATTTGAATTGGGCATGGAGATGCCCAATCGATTTGAGAAAAGTTTTAGATTTCAATGGATTGTTTTCTTGAGAATGATTGGTTTTCAGTCAAAATATCCAAGACAATAGCAATTCAGAAAAGAATTTCTTCAAAATCTGGCAGGAAGGCACTAGAAATTGAAGAATTTTAAAGAAATGAAAAGGAAATAAGAATTCTCAACAATCCACTGACAAACAAAAGGTTTTGCTGTAGAAAGGGAAGATATTTGTAGTGTGAGTGGGATGAGTGAGGAGATACAAGAGACAACCCAAGCAAGCAAATCGGTGAAGGGAAAGACCACCGCCCCCATCGGATCTCTTCACTGTCCATTCCTCTATGGATTCACCTAGGCTTTCAACAAAAACGCGATCAAGTGCACTCAAAAGAAAGCTGTTTCTGTTGAAATGGTTGTCTCATATGCAAAAATCTCTCGACCCAGTTTTTTTTTAAAGTGCTCGATAGAGAATGGATTTATAAACAAGCTTGGGTCTGAATAAGTTACAATTGCTTTACATAAACAGATTAATTTTATGGTAGATTACTTGTCTTATAGCTAACTTGTATCAAGCTAAGATACAAGCAAAATTCGTAGATTCCGAAGGGGAGTCGAAATGATATTATCGAAATTCACCGGCTTCACGAGCCGACTCCCGTAAGTAACTCCGCTAGAGCGAAACTAAGAGTGAATGAACAAGAGCTTGAACACTGCCTTACCAAAGAGTTCGCAAACGGGCTTGCCCGTGCGATTAAAAGAGTCAAGGAAAGCCTCTAATAAGATCAGAGGAGAAATCCAAGCGTCGGACAATACCACTATGAGCAACGTGAGCCAATTGAGTCCGCGTCGTAATTCGAAGGGTTTACCCTCCGTCGGCGGCCTATTGATCACAAGTTTGGATCTGAATAAGTTACAATTGCTTTACATAAACAGACTAATTTTATGGTAGATCACTTGTCTTATAGCTAACTTGTATCAAGCTAAGAAACAAGCAAAATTTGTAGATTGCCGCAACCAACTGCCACTGAACCAACTGCGCAAAATTGCAGTTGGCTCAGTGGTAGAATGCTCGCCTGTCACGCGGGTGACCCGGGGTCGATTCCCGGACTGCGTATACTGAATAAAGTTGGTTTGTACGAAGACTGTTTCGTCTACAATCTTTTATCCGAGCGGAGATGCTTTCTTCTCAATTGGTCGTGATATCTGATCACAATCGACAAACTTTTTCCCAAATTAGCGTGCAATCTGACCAATCAACTTGAACACAATCGTTTTACAAAAGGAAATAGGAAGAAATAGGAAGAAGGAAATACCCAAGAAGTGTATCTCCTTCATATGAATGATCCTTCATTCAAAAACAGACACGAAATAAAGCAAACAACGTTAAAGATATTCAATAAATGGACTAAATGCTCTACACGAAAATTGACAATACAAAAGGTATTGTTTAGATGCCAAATTTGAATTTCGTATCGAATATTCGAATAACGGCAGGACCGAAAAAGGATTGGAGCTAACATGACTAGTATCAAGTTGAAAATGAGCACAAGTTTAGACAACTTTCAGACAACTTATGGGTTGGTTAAGCTGGACGACAAGTTCCGCAAATCCTACCTTAAAGTTACAAGCTGAAATCCTAGCTCAAATTCTAGCTCAAATTAAATTTAATCTTAACATTACAGACGATCAAAAACCATGCTATTGACAACAATATTCTACAGACAAGGATCTATAAGTTAGCCAGATTGGCTGCAGTTTAGAGTGGAAAAGAAATGGAAGAAGAGTGAGGAGTCAATTTCTATTGTTTCATTCCTCTTCACTCTCCATCTCGACTTCTTCAACATATGGAAGCTCTTACTCACACTAATAACACCACGTAAACATTTCATTCAGCACAAATTGAGCATTTGCTGACGTGCAATCTGACCAATCAACTTGAAAACAATTACCGTATTTTCTGTAATAGTAGTGCAGTCTATAATAGTAGTGCAGGCTGGAGGGGGCTTGAAAAAATAGTAGTGCGCACTACTATTACAGAAAATACGGTACTCGATTTACAAGAAGTGTATTTCCTTCATTTGAATGAAAAAACAAAAACTTAAATAAAGCAAACAACGTTAAAGATATTCAATAAATGGACTAAATGCTCTACACGAAAATTGGCAATACAAAAGGTAATTGATTGTTTAGATCCCAAATCCCACCCCAGTTTAGAGTGGAAAAGAAATGGAAGAAGAGTGAGGAGTCAAATTTCTATTGTTTCATTCCTCTTCACTCTCCATCTCGACTTCTTCAACATATGGAAGCTCTTACTCACACTAATAACACCACGTAAACATTTCATTCAGCACAAATTGAGCATTTGCTAATGAAATCGGAAAAAAAAGCTAAAAATAGCGAAAAAGTTTAGGAAAAAAATCTATTATGAAAAATGTATTCAATTTTCGTAAAGATATTGTAAAGTTATATAGATTTTTGACAATTTTAATACTTGGAAAAGTGACAGAACTTGGTTGAAGCTTTGAAAAGTTTTAATTAATTGAAAGATATTGAAAAATAGCTAAATATAATACAATATTTACGGCTAAATATGTGCTTTTGTTTAGCATATTGAAAAAGGAACTTGTACTTTATAATTCTTTGCCTAGTCTTTGCCTTTATAATTCGACAATAATCACATAGCTTTATTGTTACTATATGTCTTAAGATATTCGACAAAAAGTAGTCAAGAAGTCAAAGAAAAAGTGAAAGCCACACATGTGTCATTCACGCTATTTTGACGCCCAATACTGCATAAATAATGGCTGCCGAAAAGGAGAAAAACAAGCTAAAGAAATGTGCGGATTTGTATGATATAAATGAAATAGATGGCCTCTAAAGCATGACAAGTAGAATATTTTGAAAGGCGGATTTGACGGTAAATCCTTGGAATTAAGCGATTATTGGTGAAAAGACAAAAAGAATGAATGCGACGATGAGAGCATTTTGAAATTAGGTTAAAAACTGAATTAATGAGCGCTGGAAAGAGAGATTAATGACCTTTGAAGTAACCGATTGAAAATCTTTTGATCTTATGAAACTGGAGTCGGGTGAAATCGGATGAAAATCTTTTGATCTCTATTTGAGTAACTTACCGTAAATACTGTAATAGTACCCCCACCCCCATAATGACGGTGTGGAGTGTTGCGTAGTCTAGCTTTGAACGAGTTTTTCTCGACACTGGTTTATGCTACGATGCGTGCTTAGGTATCAAAAAATAGCTGAAATTCAGGGCTATTTGAGCTTACTGAATGGATATTACACTGAGAAAATGAGAAAATGAATTTGAATGAAAAATTCTACATCACGACTTTAGGTTGCCCGTCAAAAGGCTATCAAGATGGGCCTTGATCCCAACGAGGCCGCCAACTCCATCCATCCACCAAAGCTCCAGGTTTGTCCAAGAACAAAGCTCATTTTACTCGTCTTTTTTCCAGTAACATAATTCACAAATATTTTGGTAAAAACAATACACAAGCACACCGTAAATACTGTAATAGTACCCCACCCCCATAATGACGGTGTGGAGTGTTGCGTAGTCTAGCTTTGAACGAGTTCTTCTCGACACTGGTTTATGCTACAATGCGCGCTTAGGTATGAAAAAATAGCTGAAATTCAGGGCTATTTTTTGATACCAAAGACGCATTTTTTGAAAGTACGGGCGCTTTAAAAAAAATGAAATACTAAAAAACTTTTGCGACTACGCGACTGTACGAAGGGGTGGGGTACTATTACAGTATTTACGATAGGTAACTGAGTTTTTAAAGATATAATAGAAAGAGACTAGGTAAGAATGAATAAAATGACTTGTAGAGAAGCTTTGAATCTTAGAAAAAACGAAAGCTGTTTATAGATGAAAAGTAATGGAGTAAAATTGTGTAAGTAAACTGAAGGAAAGTTGAAAATCAGGTTGATAGAGCTTGAACTGAAATGACTAGTTTGCCAAGAACAATAGTATTATTGTATCAAGAACAACAATATCATTCTCTACTTTCCAAGAACAACAATACGAATTCATACTTTACTTGACTCAAAAATAAAGAAAGTGAATCTGAATCTGAATCCTCCAACAGAACGATTAAGGAGAAAGTCCTCGGGTAGTGCTTGCCAGGCTTAGTGAATATGGATTGTGAGAAAGTACTAGATTTTTGGGTAAGTATCGCGAACTGGTGAACTAGTGAATAGACCGGGAGAAGAGGGAAAGCAAGCAAAAAGTGAGAAGAGAATGAATGGAGGAAGCCATGGATAAAGAGAGAGAGTCCTTCCACTCCAAAAGGTGCAAGAGTTGCCATTGCTCTCTCTGCGGTGCCGCCAATTGAATTCATCTCTCCAGCTCTCATCTTTTCTTTTCTTCTAAATACAATGGGCTTAGTCTTAGCCTTGGCTAACAGGCAAATCTTGGCAAATCATAATCCCATTATGGAGAGTGAGAGTGGACTTTCAAATCTTTCACATTTCAAATCTTTACACTGAAAGCAGTGAAAAGCTGATATCGATTGTTCAGAGTATTTTCTATTTTTACAATTTGCTAAATTCAGTTCAAAAGCTTGTAAGAACTTGAGTTTTTGATGGTATGACAGGGAACTTACTTTAAAATTTACTATTACTAGTATACACAAGTTTAAGTTGTTTTTGAAACAAGAACTTCAAGTCCCACACTTTTTCTTGAGTTCATTTCAATCAGACGTCATTGATAAATTCCGTTGGTTACAGATTAGCCGGAAAAAGTGGCGACTTTAGAGAGAGAGAAAGAGAAAGAGAAAGAGAAAGAGAAAGAAAGAGAGAAAGAGAGAGAGAAAGAGAGAAAGAGAAAGAGAGAGAGAGAAAGAGAAAGTGACAAGACTGGACCCTAAACTGCCTCCTTTTCCTTCTCTTAAACATTAGCTCAAACATTAGCTCATTGTTGATTTTTATCATCAAACACCATTCAAAAATAGAGTTCAGTATAAGATAAAAGGCTTTTTTTAACTTTTTAAAGTAAAATCAACAAAGCAAAGTGTAAAGAGTGATTCTAAACTTGTTTAAATACTTAAAAATCAAAGGAAATTTAGTAAAAACTCGTTTAAATACTTAAAGATTCAACTATAGCCAATAAAATCTCAAGCTTTTAAAACCTTTTGAATTTCTTTGAGAGCATTAGCCGACACATCAATCATTTTGTCACTCATTTCACTCATAGAAAGGGCTAGATCGGGGAAAGAGTATGCAAGAGGCAATAGGAAAAAAAGAGGATGTTCAAATTTTTAAAAACGTGCATAGAGAATGAAGTTTTGTGTATAATAAATGTCGAAATTCAAAAAATTTACCCCATTTGTCGATCCGTGGATCATGTTGAAGGGAAGGCGTAACGTCAAGGAGGCGGCCACAGTCACCGGATCGTAGCCTCTCAAAAAGATTTCCTGAATTGAGAATTGCGTAAAAAAAAATTACTTGTTTGCACTTTTTAAATTGTTATCTTTTAAGTTTTATTTTTAATTATCTTTTAAATAAAGTTTTAAAGTTATTTTAAAGTTAGTTAAAGTTAGTTAAAGTTAAAGTTTTGAAGTTAAAGCGTTTAAACGAATGTTGAGGTTGTTGAGGGATGGGAAAGGAAAAGTATACCGTATTTTCTGGAATAGTTGTGCGCATTACTATTTTTTCAACCCCTCCAGCCTGCACTACTATTATAGCTGCACTGCTATTATAGACTGCACTACTATTATAGCTGCACTACTATTATAGCTGCTCTACTATTAAAGACTGCACTACTATTATAGCTGCACTGCTATTATAGCTGCACCACTATTATAGCTGCACTGCTATTATAGACTGCACTACTATTACAGAAAATACGGTAATCTTTTTGATTGATTTAAGATTTGATTCAAGAAAAGTTTAATGTAAAACTTCAAGTTTCATAGTTATATTAAGTTTAAGCAATTGATATAAAAAGAAAAAAATTACTTGTTTGCATTTTTTAAAAGTTGTCTTTTAAGTTTTATTTTTAAGTACCTTTTAAATGAAGTTTTAAAGTTATTTTAAATTGCGTAAAGTTATCTTTTAAGTTTTATTTTTAAATATCTTTTAAATAAGGTTTTAAAGTTATTTTAAAGTTAGTTAAAGTTAAAGTTTTGAAGTTAAAGCATTTAAATGAATGCTCGATTTTTGAGAGACGGGAAAGGAAAAGTAGAATCTTTTTGATTGATTTGATTCAAGAAAAGTTTAATGTAAAACCTCAAGTTTCATAGTTATATTAAGTTTAAGCAATTGATATAAAAAGAAAACTCTCTAAAGAGAACAAAGAGAACAAAGCGTTCGATTACAGAGGATGCGTTCAAGCACGGAAAAACCGCACACAAGGAAAAGGGGATTGTTGGTCGAGATGAACAAGAGAAGATCTCTTGATTCAAGTACTCAAAGAAGAGGCTAAAAAAGAAACACAGGAATTGGATGTAATTGGATTGGTTGTTGTTTTTGGTAGTTCTTGATTGGATGCTTTAGATGAAAAGGATGGGAAGTTGTTTGTAAAAAGTTGAGAAAAGTCAGTTGACTTGAGTTGACAAAAACTTCTAAAGTCGATCATCTAGAAGAACATAAATAAAGAAAAATAGCCTGTAAATGCAGAATAAACTGAAGAAATTTCATGCAATTTTTCCCTGAAACCTTTCTGAAACCAGGCTAATTCCTAGAAAGGGGTGTTCGATGGGGAACATCGACGGGAAGAAAAAAGAAAATGACAGAAGTTGTCTTCTTCTTTTCATTGCCGTGAATGAACGTTGGGGAAAGCTGCTTAAAGAGAGCCTTTCTCTTCATTCTCTGCAGTAGCTCCTCTTCTGATAACTAAATCAGCAATTCAAATAATCCTTAGTCTTGATCTTACTCTTATAAACTTAAACTTAACGATTGGGAAAGCTTCTTAAAGAGAGCCTTTCTCATTCTCTGCAATAGCTTCACTTCTAATAACTAAATCAGCTATCCAAATGATTCTTAGTCTTATTCTTACCCTTATAAACTTAAACTTAACGATTGGGAAAGCTTCTTAAAGAGAGCCTTTCTCATTCTCTGCAATAGCTACACTTCTAATAACTAAATCAGCTATTCAAATAATTCTTAGTCTTGATCTTATTCATATAAATTATATTTTAAATAAAAAAAAACAAAGAAACTGAACCATTAAAAACTTGAACAAAGAAAGTTTTAATGCTTTAGTTTAAAAAAAAGCTTGACCCTGAGCCATAGAACAATAAAAGAGCTAATTTGAAGATAAAATCTTTTAGAAAATCTTTCAAAATAAGTAAGCTCTTAGTTTTAATCCTATATTATTACGGAATCCTAAAAATTATCGAAAAACGTTCAGCCTTTTAGCCAGAGAGAGGCGTTGCTTGGAAACAATGGTCACGACAAAAAATCACCTTCAGGAATTTTCCCATTATTTTTAATGAATTCTAGAATGTAAGAACATAAACTAAAACAAAATAAGAAAAGAATTTTGATTGTTTTTTAACATCTATGTTGCTCTAGTGCTCTAGAAAGCTGGATTCATTTTTGAATGATGTAAAAAATGAGCTTGAGATTGAAAAATTTCAAGAACTTTGTTTTTATTAAAGCAAAAGGGTTGAAGATCTAAGAATTGTGAGGGAAAGGGGAGAGCAAAGTGCCGCCACTTTCCATAATAAGTGGCTTGACTTCTGCAGACATTGGAAGGACTCCTCAAAAGGGAATACAAACCAGGCACTCTTCAAGCACATAAGAATGAGATGACAGGTAGAATTGAAGTGTTGAGGAAATGGATCAACAAACAGGTAATGGATTTTATCGTTAAGGTTGTTTGTTAGGTTATGGAAGTTGCTATTGATTGACAAAGCTTTATATTGAACTAGTAGGCCTTTAGCTAAAACTGATTGGTCTTTTTTCAATTTTATAAATTCAAACGTACCATTGGCGGTTCTTCATCGTCTTCCATTGTAGAAAAGACTCAAAAAAAACGAGTATATCGTTTAAATGAAGCAGTGGTTATCTGAAATTTCTTTTGATAAAACCAAATAAGTAAAGTAAATAGAAATAATAAGTAAATGGAAATAAGTAAGTTAAATAAGTAAATAAGTATAAAGTAAGTAAATAAGTAAATAAGTATAAAATAAGTAAATAAGAAATAAGTAAATAAGTTAAATAAGTAAAACCGGAAGTCTTGAGTTTAAAGGAATAAAATTGTTGAATGGAAAAAGAACCAATTAAAGGTTTGAAGGGAATTGTCGTTAGCTGATGACAGAGCTTGGAAAAGAAGGAGGAGGAGGATAAAGTCGTCAAAGTTTATATCTTGCCGACACCGTTTTCCAAGAGAAAAGAACCTTTGAGGGGTTCACACTCTTTTCTGTGTATTCTCTTTTCTATAACTAGATGTAGAGCTTGGTAATTGCTTTGTTTATAAGTTTGTTTATAAGTTTTCTTTGAAGCAACAACAAAAAACAAGAATGTTGTGGTTCTTGAGTTACAACAAATTTCGATTTGGAGTTCGGTAGGAGTTCAAAACCAAATCAAAAAAGATAGAGTCTTATAAACAAAACCATTACCAAGCTCTACATCTAGTTATAGAAAAGAGAATACACAGAAAAGAGTGTGAACCATTTTACTTATCTTGAGCTCGAGAAGAACGTTGTAAACGAGTATGCGATTTTTTTTTTGGAAAACCAAGCAAAACCTGGAGTGTCAAGCGATGAAAACAGTTGTTATCAAGAATTGGAGGAGAGAACAAGATGAATTGGATCACAAAAACTCAGCTCGAATGAAAAATTGAGGGAATTTGAGGGTTTTTTGCTGAGAAAACAATAGATTTCTTTTTGATTTCTTGCTAGAAAATGAGACAATTGAAAAGAAAAACAAGAAAAAGTAAAAGAGTTTCCCTTTTCAAGGCAATCAGTCGATGATTCTTTTAAGGGAAAATGGGAAAAGGTGCGAAAGTCTTAAACTTGAAAAGTGGAAAAGAGATAAGCTTATTAGAGAAGCGTAAGATTTATTACAGCCAATTTCATCAGCTCAATTTGAGACTTTCTTTGATAGGAAATGACTTGTTTAGTTCAAGAATTTCGCATTAATATGAAATTGCAAAGTAGAGATTGGCTAAGATGTCAAGAATCTCATTTTATTATCACAAAGGAAATATTGGACAACTCTCAGAAAAAAAAGACGTAAAGTGACCCAATGTGTGGTCCACTTTTCAACAGAAAACTCATTCGTACTCTGAAATCCGATCCGTTATTGAAAAGAGAGGAAAATTGAGAAGAGCTCACTAAATGATCGGCGACACCTTTTGAATTATGAATGAGGGAAAACAGCTGTAGAAAAGTAGTAAATTAAATAAATAGAAAGAAGATTGAAAAAAACCAATAAACAGCCATCGTGTAGAGTTGGACTCCAGAAGCTTGAATTATCTTGGCTGGTCAGGTGTTCTTTGGTGCAGCCGGATAATTTCATCTGGCATTTTCTTCATCTGGCATACGGCTTGAATTATCATCTAATCAAAAGAAAACTACTGACTGGAGAGATGTTCTTTGTACGGCCGGATAATCGCTCTTCATCTGGCACACGCTTCAGGTAGATAGGTGTTCCATTTTGAAAGTCCGATCGATGGGTGTTCCTCGTGCCTTTGGTTGTTTTTCTGGGATCAGTTTTACCTCAAATTTGCCTTTATTTCTGGGACAAATTCTATATTTTTCTGAACTAAAACTATTTTGAAACGACCTGCAAAGCCGTTTTTATCTTTTAATAACAGTTGATTTCATTTTCTAGACAAAAACATTTCAAAATAAATCTTTTTGGAGAAAAAAAGTTGATTTGGAGGGTAATCGTCTTTGTGATCAAGCAAAAAAAAAAGAAATGAAATGGATGAGTGGATGTCCTTGGATTGGACACTTGAAAGAACATGAAAAGAATGGATAAAGAATGGACAGAGTACAGCATGGATTGAAAAGAGAAAGGGGGAGAAGGTGCGTGAGGTCGATGAAAGGAATCGCCGATTCCCTCTAGGGGACTAGTCACTTCAATGAAATTTCACACTTTCGACAAACAGATCATTGTATAGGTTTAAGTTTGGAGTTGGTAAAGCGATTTCAACATTGCATAACCGATCTTGATCAGAAGTTGTCTAGAAATGTCAGGGAATTTTCGGGGAGATTAAAGAAAACATAAAACTCCAAACTCCTGCTTTGAACTGTACAACGAAAAATCGATTGCTAGAGAAATTTCTTATCTTATTGATTTGAAAAACCTTAATTAGAATCGACTTGAGGACTTGAAAGACTTTTCAGAACCAGCCGTTTGTTGACATGACCCAAATAAAGACTTTAGCTGGATCGTTCCTTTGTGATCAAATTTGGAAACAAAAAAAAAGATGATACAATGAACAAAAGAAGAAAATAACTTCTATAAAGTTTAGAATTTCTATTCTTTTCAACAATGAAGAGAGATTTAAGAGAATAGAAGAAAGATTGGAAGGATGAATGGCAATGGCAATGGCAATGGAATGCACTCAAAGATGGACCACCAAATTCATCCATTGACACACAAGGAGTTGAGTGGCATATCAAAATGAAACCATAAGAGAAAAGGAGATGGAAAAGAAGCTGTCAACTTTCTTCGTTTAGTCCTCTCAGATGGAAGAGAGAAGACCACGAGTCTCTCTATCAAAACAAATATGCCTGGCGAGACTCTCGACAGTCCAGATAGATAGGCTAATGAAGAGATAATATTGGAAAATCTTTGATAGATTTTGTAGACTTTTAGCATTTAAACTACAATGTGAACAAGATGGGAACTTCTTTATTTCTTAACTTCACAATAAGCTTCTTTCAAAGATGTTTTAAGAAATAAAAACTTAAGTCAATTAAAAGCTAGCTTTTTCATTGAACAACACTGCAATTTCAATGAATTGTTTTTTTGAGAATGATTGGTTTTCAGTCAAAATATCCAAGACAATAGCAATTTAGAAAAGAATTTGTTCAAAATTTGGCAGGAAGGCACTAGAAATTGAAGAATTTCAAAGAAATCAAAAGGAAATAAGAATTCTCAATAAGAATAGCATTTAAACTACAATGTGAACAAGCTGCTAACTTCTTTATTTCTTAACTTCACAATAAGCTTCTTTCAAAGATGTTTCAAGAAATAAAAACTTAAGCCAATAAAAAGCTAGCTTTTTCATTGAACAAGGAGATTTAAAAGATCTGTTATGAGCAATAAAATCGCTAAAAATTCTATTGTTAGTTGAAAAAAGAGAAAGCAAATGACCTCGAGTGATTGGAGAGGAAAAAGGCTGTCATTTGATTGATTGTCGTTTATAAAGGAAAGAATAACAATGCAAATATGGTTAGGATGAGAAAAGGAGGGGAAAGAGGGAAAGAGTGGAGAAAGGATGGAGCTCAGTTGGTGGTGAGAGAATTTAAAATTATAAAAATTATTTAAAGAGAAGAATATGAAGACTCTTTTTAATGGTAAACGAAGAATAAAACTTAGAAAATTATTTTTAGCCTTGAACTTAAAACAATCCACAATCTTGTGTGGAATTTTGATTTACTAGTAACTTACTTGCTTACTTACTTAATACTAGAGTTAGTAAAGGACTTCTACTTGCAATCCTAGATGAAATGAGCAAAAAACGAATCTAGAGGTCGGAGGTTATATTTGACGAGAAGTCTCTTGTTAAATGACTTTTCGAGTGAAGATCTAACAATTGGTGTCAAAGGGGAAAAGAATGGGGAATGATTGACAAATAGTGGCCTTTTTCTTTCCAATAGGATCCATAAATCCGGTCCGATCAGCCTCTAGCCTTCAGCAAAAATATTAGAAATTGTTACGATTAGAATTTGATCGGTAAACAGATGAAACTGGATTGGATCTAAGAATTTTGGAAATTGAAGGTTGAATTGGAGTTTGAATTGAGGTTTGAATTGAGGTTTGAATTGATGTTTGAATTGAAGTTTGAATTGAAGTTTGAATTGGAGTTTGAATTGAAGTTTGAATTGGAGTTTGAATTGAAGGCTGAATTGAAGGCTGAATTGAAGGCTGAATTGAAGGCTGAATTGAAGTTTGAATTGGTTTGAATTGATGTTTTAATTGAAGCTTGAATTGAAGCTTGAATTGAAGTTTGAATTGAGGTTTGAATTGAAGTTTGAATTGAAGAACAAATTGATGACTTGGTTTGATTGTGTTCCGTATTGCTAAACTGATTTGTTCAAGTTATCCAATTTCAAATTGTTATTCTTATTCAACTTATAAGGTTCAATTCAAGTCTAATTCAAATGATGAAGACTTAGAATATTCCAACCAAACCAGGCTTGTTTCAGTGTTTGAAAAAGTTATCAGTATTAGTAGAAGAGGTTCGATTTGATTAATGCCAAAGGCGAACAAATCAATTTGGTAATTAGCGCAAAACAAAACCAAGTTATCAATTGAAATCAAATCAAAGTAAAGCTCAATTGTTATCAATTGAAACTTGAGTAATGAAAGCTCAGAGCTCATAAAGAAGATCAAATTTCAGACGGGTTCATCTTAATGAAGATCTAGTTATTGTTTGTGGGTGAACAATCACAGCGGGAGAAGAAAAAAGTCTCAAAAAAAGTGTCGTCCCTGACAAAAAGGGTGGACTGAAGCTGAGAAGGCGAAAAAGAATGCAGTTAGGGGTGTCGCTGTCATTCATTGTGCTTGGTGAAGAGAGGTAAAGGGGATGGGGTAGACCGGGTGACGCGTCTCTTCGGCGATGCGGGCACCGAAGGCTTTGGCATTTGGCAGGTGCGCAAGCACAGCCACTGAAAAGAGACCCAAGATGTGCCAATGTAAAGAAATTTTGTCAACAAATGTGGCAAGTCAGCCCGTGTATGGTGAGATTGAGTCACTTTTTCCACGCACAGCTAATTAAATAGATTTGATGGAAGAAAATTGAGTCACTTTCATTCAACAAAGGTAAAGTTGAGCTTTGAAGCTAAGCTAGATTTAAACAAACGCTTAAATGCAGAAAGAAAATAAACAATGAACTAAAAAAGCACTTGAAATGATCGAGCTATTTGGGTAAAGTGAGATAAACTTATTTCTAAATTAATAAAAAGCTATGTTTAAAAAGGTACCGTATTTTCTCTAATAGTAGTGCACCCTTAGCTTTGCCTAAATTGCTCGAAATCTCGAGAACTGCTTATCAGAACCTATCGATGTGGGATCGGAAAATGTAGCTGACGATGAGATCTAGTGGGGGATTTGAGTGTTGAGCTTCTGCAAAAGCTTGGAAACCGTAAAATAGTCACCAACTCGGCTCACCGGGGTGCACTACTATTAGAGAGAATACGTTAACCATTAATTGATTGAAAATTTGTTTAGCAAATTGTTTAGCAAGCAAGCCACTCCAAAGAGGAAACCGACGAATTTGAGAAGATCCTAGGGATAATTTTGAATTTGGTATTTAGCTGTATTTTCCCTAATAATAGTGAACCATAAGCTTGCCTAAATTGGTCGAAATCTCGAGAACTACTTATCAGAACCTATCGATGTGGGGTCGGAAAATGTAGCTGACGATGAGATTTAGTGGGGGATTAGAGTATTGAGCTTCTGCAAAAGCTAGGAAACCGTCAAATACTCACCAACTCGGCTCACCGGGGTGCACTACTATTAGAGAAAATACGATACCAGTAAAATTCATGCTTCATGCCAAGAAAACTCACCCTTAGTTACCTTTTCTAACAAACTACTAAGATGTAATTGTAATTTTTCTAAAAGTTGCTCTCTTTTTTGGTTTATTTGCTAATTTGTACTCGTGCTATGTTTAAGCGTTAGAATAGAATAAAGTAAATTCAAAAATTTAATTAAAATGATATTCAAACAATCATTGAATGTATAATTAATAAAAATAAACTGAGATAAGATTAAAAATCTTTCAAAAGCTGTAAAAAGTTATCCTATCTAATGCTTAAACAGCACAAAACAAAGCAAGTAAACGAAAATTTTCTTTACTTCGAAAAACGAAGTAAAAAAAAAGCGCAACTTCTGGAAAAATTAGAAGTATTGATAATTTTTTAGAAAATGTGAAAGATAATTGAGTATGAATTTTATTAGTTTACGTTTAAATCTTATATAAAATCGTTGATCGTTTGATAAAAGAAATCGATGGTGAAAAGCTGAATCTCTGCAAAGAAAAGGCTGAGCAGGAAAAGAGAAAATATATGCATAGCCCGGCTCACACCATTTCTCGCTGCTGGAGATCTCTTTCTCGTCAAAGGGAAAAGAAATCACTTTCATTTCCTCATGATTGTCTTGTTTTTTCTTCAGAGAATAGTTCTAATCGAATTAGGGCTGTTTTTCTTGAGATCAATCTAATTTTGACTTACTAGCTAGCTCACTGATCAGAGCTACAATTGGATAGTAAACAAAATTGTTTTGTTTATATTTTGGGTTATTATCAATGCATCAAAGTATTGGTAATGACCAAAGTATTAGCCAAAGTAAATCTTTTAGTCGCTCAATCAATCAAATCTCTCAATCTAAAGTTACCTTTCAGCACCTCAACTCGGACGTCCAATCCGATATTTTACATTGTCTGTAAGCTGTTACTGATCAAGGATTTTATAAAATTACAATGGAAAAGATAATGGATAACTTTAGGAAATTGTGGTAGATCATTCTAAATTTTGACAATTGTTGGTATCATGTCGAAGTCCTTTAAATTAACTTATTGGAACTTTACTCATTGCAGAAGGTGGACTGATGATCGCCAGTCTTTTTCACTGGATTGGGTGATCAGAGAAGAACTCTGATTGAACTCTGAGGAACACTTTACCAACTACCAAGGTGATCAGAAAAGAACTCTTTGATTGAATCACAAATAACCTTGCAATATTGATAGGTTTTTCAAGAATCGTTTTGATTTGAGCTCCTTCTTTCAATTAAAGCTTTAAAGCTTAAACTCTAAAAATAAAAGATAAAACACTAAAACAATTAAATATTTATATGTGAATTTGATAGTAATATCCAGAAGATTTAGAAGATTTATTTCGTTCTAAAAGTTTTCTAACCAAACTACACTAAAGTGATGGAGCCATCAATGGCAATGGAAAGACTAGAAGTAAAGGCTTGAAATAGAAGTCCATTCAACATAGAACATTTTTTTTAAAATGCTAATGATTTGAATATCATATCCTAATTTGAAGTGAAAAGTCTGATGAGCGCTTCATAGGCTGAAGTGGTGATTCCCCAGCCACAAAGAGATCGGAAAGCATTTACATGAACACCTCGATAAAGCTCAGTGATCCGGCCACGTTCTCTCAATAGTCTCAGAAATACCTGAAGAGGAGATTTCTTAGGAGAACTAAAGGAAATGCTAACCTTGATTGGAGATTGAGCTCCGGGACCCATCTCACTTTGAACATTGTTCTTAATAACGTTCAGTGGGAAGAAAATTGTGGAAATTGTTGCTCCCAAAAGAGCACCGGAAAGAAAATCGGAGATTAAACTGTAAATTTTGATCTTGAATCATGAACAAGTAAGCTAGATAGTAAGCTAGATAGTAAGCTAGATAGTAAGCTAGATAGTAAGCTAGATAGTAAGCTAGGTAGTAAGCTAGGTAGTAAACTAGGTAGTAAACTAGGTAGTAAGCTAGCTAGTAAGCTAGCTAGTAAGCTAGGTAGTAAGCTAGGTAGTAAGCTAGGTAGTAAGCTAGCTCAATCCTTTAAAAGCTTAAGCTGACAATTTCTTGTACAATAGCTTGCCCAAGCTTTTGAGTGGCTTTTACTATTCATTACATTACTTAAAGAACTTTTTTTTTAATTATTGGCCCCCACTCCCCAAAACCCAAAAAAAAAAAAAAAAATATTAATTTTTTCCCAAAGCCGCCACCCCCCCCCCCCCTTTAAAAAAAAACCCCTTTTTCCCCCCCCCCCCTCCGCAACCCCCCCCCCAAAAAAAAAAAAACCCAAAAAAGGAAGGCCCCCCTTGAACCAAATTTCCCCCCCCCCCAAATTGAGTTAACCTTTATGTTTCCAAATATATCAATACACCTTTTTTAAAATACACCGCACCCCCCTTTCTTTTCTTTCTTGGCGGTTATTTTAAAACTTGAGGAATAGCTAGGCTGGGTTTTTGAAAACCACCTCCCCCTTTGCAGTCAATTTCCCAAAAAGAACAAAAACTTTTTATTCCAAAACCCCCCCCCCAAACACCCAACACCGACCCCCCTATTTACATAGAAGAAAAGAAAAACGCCATTCATAACGCACACCCCAATACTTTATTGATTTAAACTTACTGCAGTGCTGTGTGACCCTCAATCTTGCTTTTATCAAGAATAAACATTTTAAAGGGTTCTCGTAGATTGAAATAAAGAATATTTGATAATCCATTTCTTGCAATCACCAATGAGATCCCTCTATAATATTCCCTGATTCCATAGTATTTGAAAATTTTAGCAGCAGCATCACCTAGAAAACTTGAAAATAGAGCTAAAAAAAGGTGATAACAAACCAGTATTTTTAAACTCTTTATGATATTTGTCGGCTTGTAGAAGAACTTGAATTCTTTCTAGAGGAGCTAATGAAGCCTCACAAGCGCCAGCTAAACTGGAATTTGAGATAACAACTCAATGCAAACTTGCCTAAAAATGCAGCTTTCGCTCGTTCAACGGTGAACAAAGAAGAGCCTCTAGTGTATTTTGCGCCTCCAAAGTGTGTCTGAAAGATTGTATGACATTGGCTGACATTGGCTGACATTGACTTTGATCGATTTACCAAGAAATTGTCGTAAAGTCCAAACATGACAGCTCTTGATGTGGTTCGCATGAGGAGTGGAGGGAGAAGACCTCGATACAACAAAGAAATGCCCTCGGCACGGATCTAGAAGTTGAAGTTAGGAAGATCAGTTCGTTATTAGCTGTTATTGGATGTCTGGAGCTTCTATTCACATTTGTAGCTTCTATTCACAAAGCAAACCAGCATACTGATGCTTGTTCTAAAGCTTAAGCATCACGTAAATTTTATAGTTGGTTAAGCTGTGTGGATAAGCTTTTTATCTATTTTCTCAGCTCTACTTGTTTCACTACCTCTCGAATCGCTCCCAGCACATTGTACCCGTGAACTTGTTGCCGAAAAGAGACTTTCGTTGCCGGATAAACGATGCAAGTCTCAATGCAACCAGCTCCCCAACCACAACCGAACTCGAGAGCATGGTAACGTCTCTCATCTGGAAATCATACAATTTGACTTTTAAAAACTATTAGCAATCTTATCAGCCTTGATATAGAGTTTTCAATATTTCTGAGGACTAGATTACTAGGTTTAGAGCTTATTTTGTACAAGTTTAATGTTAAAAAGGAAACACACTTATCAATGGCGAATTGATAGGTTTCCTAAGTTGTTAAGTTGATTTATTGATAAGTTTCCTAAGTTAATAAGTTTGATATTGATAAGTTTGATTGATAAGTTTGATATTGATTGATTGATATTGATTGATAAGTTGATAAGTATTGATAAGTTTCTTAAGTTACTCCTTTTTAACTTTTAAACTTGTACAAAATGAGCTCTAAACCTTAGTAATCTATTGGTCGTTAAAACAACGTTAAAAACTTTAAATACCCATAAATATTGAACACTCTGTATTTTAAACCGTTGCTTTAAACAAATCAATTGCGCATAACAAATCTAAATGTAACAAACTCGAAAATTCTCACCATTAGCTTTTTGGGTGTTCATTCATTGAGAATTTCAGCATTTGCTATGCGCTTAAAATGTCCTTTTTTGACTAGATAACAACATGTTATTGGGTGCAGAAAATGGAGAGAGTCGGTTGGAAAAGAACGGGCATACGGTAAATGAAGCAACTCTTTGCCGTTCTCTCAGAAAACAAAAAATCCGAATCTCGAGCAGAATGCAGTTAAGCCAAAAAATTGGAAGAAAATAAGCAACCCTTGTGGCTCTGAAAAAGAGCACCGGAAAGAAAATCGAAGATTAAACTGTAAATTTTGATCTTGAATCTTGAACAAGTAAGCTAGGTAGTAAGCTAGGTAGTAAGGCTGTGGCTACAAAATACAAAGCCAATGTTCAACACGGTTTATTTACAAAATTTTCATCAAAATCTAACAGATTCAATAGAACAAAGTTCATTGTTTAAAGCTTTTATATCAACTTGTTCCCGTAGAAAATAAATAGAAAGGAGTTGACTTAAAAAAGCACGTTTTTTCGGAGCACGATCCTCATTTAATAAGTTTGCTGAAAAATTACAATATTATTGTTAAAAACAAGCAACGATACTTATTGGTTATCTCCCTCTCACTCAAAAATTTGCATTTATCAAATTGCATTTATCAAATTGCATTTATCAAATTGCATTTTTTTTTTTTTTTTTTTTTTTTTTTTTTTTTTTTTTTTTTTTTTTTTTTTTTTTTTTTTTTTTTTATGGTTTTTTTAATTTTTTGAATAACATTCTGATTTTCGGAGTGGAGCTCCCATCTCTTCATAGCATTATTAAGCAATAAAATTTGCATAAAAATTAAAACATTTTCTATATGTTCTATATCTAAAACAATCTAAACAGGCAATACGAAACCAGAAATGAAATTAGCATATGAGCGAAATTAGCTTTTAACTGCACCACGAAGCACACAGGAGCATTGGATACATTTCGAGTGTCTTCCCCTCTGCCCCTGAGTACCCCTTAAGTGCCTCCCTAAGTACCCCCTTGCCAGAGGCATTTTGCGTTTTTCTCAACGCAAAATTTATCAATTGGCCTGTTTTTGGTTTCATTCGATGCGTCTAACTTTCCTCTATCCAATGAAACCAAAAACAGCCTAATTGATAAATTGTACGTTGAGAAAAACGCCAAATACCTCTGGCAAGGAGGGGGGCGCGTAGGGGGTACTCAGGGGGGACACTCGAAATGTATAATTGGTGGGGAGGTGGATGGGAAAAATTTCAGTCCGCTAAATGGTGGGTTTCTTTTTTTTGGGAGCGGGGAAGATAACCAATAAGTACCCAATCAACTAACCAAGTTGTTCTTCAGCGTAACTCAAATATGTTGATATTATTCGATGAATTTCCTCAAAAGTCAGCACCGCAAAAGAATCGAAATCATAATTTCTCAAGGATAACTTTTCAAACATAACACAACCAAGTTTTAAATTTAAACATAAACATCTCTCTTCATTGTCAGCTTCTTTTGGAATCTCCAATGGAATCAAAAGATCGCGAAGATGTTTTTCTTCATTATTTGCTGCTCGATGAAACAAAAAATAGTTAGGGCATTTGTATTTTTTCGAGAAAAATCTCTTGATCTCTTCATCTTTTTCCTGTCCTTTTCGAGATTGATCAAAGAGATTTAATGGCCTAAATCGTTCATCTTTTGACCCAAAATAATGATCAAAGATTTTATAGATTGTGCCATGCAATAATTCGTAGTCTTTCAGGCTTTCTTGGTCTAAAGTCGACTGCCAGCACCAAACTTTCGAATTCGGTGAATGGAACCAATCAAAAATGTAATTTTCAAAGTTATACTTACACTTTCGAGAGTAATTTCGCACTTTTTTCCCCAAAATTGAGGTGCTCATGCCACGAAAAGTGGATTTGTTTGGATCTTCTTGCGTTGAATTCGTTGTTATATATGGATGTTCCATAAACGAGTTCAAAGCATTCAACAAAAGCGTCCAATCAATCACCAATCCTTCACTTTCATTAGGACAATGTTTCCTCAAAATCCTTTGAAACGTTTCATCTTTCTCCCGTCTTTTATAAGTGATCCCTAACTTTTGTAAACCCGATGGATGTGCTTTTAAACTTTCCAATTTCTCAATACTTTGATGAAAATCTCGACCTGATTGCTTAGCTATTTCATCAAATTTTTGCTCTTTATGTTTCCATAATAAACACAAAGCTTCATCATAGATTAAATAAATCATTTGAAAATCTTGGAGAAATTGTTGTCGCCAAGAGCAAAGATTTTGTATGATCGATTTTCCACAAATAGGTTCAAATTTGGATAAGACAAATAGCTCAATGAGGCTTTGATTGAAAAATTCCGGAATTCCTGGTGGTTTTGAAAGTTGATTAAATGAGAAATCACAATTCTTGAAAATATCCTCAAACTCTGCTTTTCGTTTTTCAAGATTATTAAGTAAAGTTGATTGATTTGGGTTATTCGTTAGCAATGGTAAGATCACTTCAAAAGCTTTTCTCGAAATCTCTTCAGAGAAATAACTACTTGTCTTTTTGATTTCCTCAATTTCTTTTAAATACATTTGTTCAGGTAAATTTTCGATAGTAACTTGGTCAATAATTGTATTTAATTGACTGCAAAGGGTTGTCGATGAATAACCATCACCATCAATAAATCCAATTGTCGAGGTGGTTTGCTTTACATTGAATTGCTCAAAAGCGATTGGTTTTACCAAAATATCATTGTCAATTTCGATTATAGGTTCAAATTCGATATTTGAATAAGCCTAAAAGGGATTTTATTAAGTTTAATAAAGAAAGAAACATTGATAAAGCAAGAAACATTGATAAACAAACCCTCCGAATTCCAACCATCACTTTATGAACATCATTCACCTTTGGTCTATGGTTGTCTTCTATTCGAGTACAGCTAAATATTGTTTTCCTGGGATTTTAAAATACTTACCGAGAAATGAGATCCACTACTTCAAAAGGAGCATCTAAATGTTCGAGTTTATTGATACCACGCATGAGATTTTGAAGAACGGTATATTCTGAGAGTTTTGTGAAAACTTTTCTGAAAAAGAAATGTTTTTGATAAGCTAGAAAAATACGTACTATAATACTAAAGTAATACTAATTAGATCATTCTTTTAAAAAGTACAAAAGAGTAAATGTTCAAGTTCAAATGTCTTAACCAGAGCTGGTTCTAGGGCCACAGTCCCAGGCCAGACCAGGATCAGGCCACTTGGATGGATTTCCAGGCTTTATGGTCTAGCCTTGACGTTGGCAAGTTTTTAGGCCAGCTAGGGTCAATCACCAGATTTCAAAAAGTTTTTGTATGATTTGTTTGTACCTTCTTTCTAGAATTTCCCACATGATTAGCCCGGATGCGTAGAGATCGCTTTTGCAAGTCACCTGAAATCAAATAGCTAAAGAAACTAAGAGTTGCAATAAATTAAGGGAAAATCTCTGATTTTCTAGTAATTTAGTTGCAGATTTGTTAAATAAACCTTTCTCTTCCCGGTCGCCATTCCAAATCCAGCACATTCGGGACTCATATATCGAAGAGTGCCATCTTTACTCAACTCTTTTGTGTCATTTTCTTTCCGAACACATCCAAAATCCCCAATTTTCAAAATCCAATCTCGAGTCATCAGAACACTAAGATTAGATTAGAATCAATTCAATAATTAGATAATTGTAAAGAAATATTCTTTGCTTGCTTGGTACTCTTCACTCAAGACATGTTATTTCATGTTTCGAGATATCTGATCTCACTTGAACTAAGAGACTTTATTCAATAGCCGACTGACTCGCAATTTTTGGGCTCTCACTTGAGCAATTTTCACACAAAATCGACAATTGAATTAAAACTAGAATAATTTCGATGGGTACCATAGGACAATTTCTCGCGTAGCGGACTCCCAGCGCAGCTAGTAACTTATAATGCAAAGATTCCGTTTAGTTCGCATCTTTCCTAACATTCTTGCTAAATCTTTTTTCGGATTTAGATTTAGATTTGAGAAAATCCGCGGGATAAACTATATACTATTAGTGTAAAGAAATATTCTTTGCTTGCTTGGTACTCTTCATTCAAGACACGTTATTTCTTATTTCGAGATATCTGATCTCATTTGAATTAAGAGACTTCATTCAATAGCCGACTGACTCCCAATTTTTGGGCTCTCACTTGAGCAATTTTCACACAAAAGCGACGATAAAAACAGAAACAATTTCGTCTTAATTAGGACACAACTTTCACAAGATGAAAGGAAGGCAGAAAAAAAGTAAAACGCATCAAATGAACAACAGTTGCCTTATATAGGCAACTGTCGTCGTCTAGCTTTGAACGCTTTAACACAAGATATTCAACTAACAAGCTACAAAAAAACAAATGCTTTTGGGCACGAAATAGAATGAAGGCGCACGGATTTCCGCAATACTTTTCCAATTTTTAGTCTGTCAGAGTTAGGTAACTTTTTAGTGGCTATTCGCCACAATAATATTATTAATTATTTAGATAACTTATTGGTCTTACTTTTCTGGTTTCAAATCTCGGTGGATGATTCCATGATTCTCAAGACAGACCAAACCAGCTAAAAGATGCTCCGCCCAACAAGAAAATGTTTTCATCGAGTAAATGATCTTTCGATTATTGATGACTAAAGAAAATGAGTTTTTTAACGGTCCACCGATGGGCTGAACTAATCACGATAATTTTTTGGTGTCGACTCTAGTCTTTAAAGACTTTTGGGTCCTAATAAACTTTGGGGGGCACTTTTTTCGAGATTTTAATTTCTCTAGGGTAATCGAGGCCGTTGATCACGAAAAAACATTTTCGATTTATGTTTTCAATTTAAAAAACTTATGTATTGCCGTTATATTTGGTAGTTTGTGGCCCTTAACGCGTTCGGGACGATTCGGCCCACCGGTGGACGAAATTGTGGTCCACCGGACGAAACCCGCAAAACCCGCGTCTGGTGGACGAAACCCGAAACCCGTAACGCAAAAAAACGCCTCGTTGCGAATGTGTTAAGAAGGCC